TTGATTTCAGTGATTTGGACTATGAGATGGACACTTGCTTCTTGCACTCTTATGTTGCACTTTACTTTTGCTTTAAAAAAGGATTTCATAGAAATTTGGATTTCATTTGGAGTTTCACGACTGAAGCCCTCTGTTCATTTTGTTCATCATGCTGGAGATGTCTGTTTAAATCTGTTGTTTACACATTTCTAAGAGTTCTTTTAATACTTACAATTTTTTATAATAACTTTAATATATTGACATTAAGAACATGCTAGACTTTCGTAATTATTTTCTTTTTATTAGGTTTGTTTAGATTTTTACTCTTTTAGTTTTACATTTCGTCAATGGCTTGTTTACATTTATACTTTTTTATGGTACACTACTGAATGGCAAAGTTGCAAGTTTAATAAAATGTTCTAAAAAAAATTTTTGTGGGAAATTAATCGTTTAGATTAATCGATAAATTAGTCGATAGATTAATCGAAACAAAAATAGTCGTTAGTGGCAGCCCTAATGTAATGGTAAAGTTTTGATTTTGGGTATTAAAAATGCTCATATGAGTAGATGTACTAAATGCAATACTTTATGTAATGGTAAAATTTGCACTTTAATAATAATAATAACAAATATATATATATATATATATATATATATTACCATTAGATATAGTATTACATGTAGTATAGTGCAACAAGTGCATTATGTGTGTGTGTGTGTGTATATATATATATATATATATATATATATTACCATTAGATATAGTATTGCATGTAGTATATATGCTCATATGAGCAATTTTAATAGTTACAATCTATATCTGAGCAAATATACTACATGCAATACTGTATGCAATGGTAAAATTAAGATAATGATTATTAAAAGTGCTCATTTTACAATTACATACAGTATTGGATGTAGTATTTACATGCAATACTATATGTAATAGCAAAAAGAGGAGTTTTAATAATAACAGTTATTTTACTACTACACACACAGTATTGCATGTATTATATCTGCTCATATGCAAACTTTTAATAGCCATAATCTCTATTTTACCATTAAATATAGTACTGCATGCCGTATAACTGATGACATGAAGATTATGAAAATTAAAAGTGCTAATCTAAGCAGATGTACTATTTGCAATACCATATACATAAAGGTAAAATGATGAGTAAATATACTACATGCAATACTATATGTAGAGGTAAAATGACAATTATGAGTATTAAAAGTGCTCATACGAGTAAATATACTACATGCAATACTATATGTAGAGGTAAAATGACAATTATGAGTATTAAAAGTGCTCATATGAGTAGATGTACTACATGCAATACTATATGTAGAGGTAAAATGACAATTATGAGTATTAAAAATGCTCATCTGAGCAGATATACTACATGCAATACTGTATGTAATGGTAAAATGAGCACTTTTAATCATTATAATAGTCATTTTACCATGACAGTGTTGCTTGTAGTATTTCCGCTGAGATGAAGATTATGAGTATTAAATACGAGTAGATGTACTATATGCAGAGCTGTATGTAACAGTGAAATTAGCACTTTTAATAAGTGTAATCTTCATCTGAGCAGATGTACCGTATGTAGTGGTCAGATGAAGGTTGAGTGTGAAAGTGCAGTGATGTGAGCAGAAGCACAAGGCCTCTGAAGAACACAAGTATGATGATGTGAAACACACACACACACACACAGAGAGATGAAGTTCGATCTTCAGTCCTAAAAGTGCTCCGAGCACATGATCACCTCTGAGGATCCACTACACGAGTGTGTGTGTGTGTGTGTGTGTGTGTGTGAGCTTTAACACAAGTGTCAACGTGCACAACTAACTTCACGCGACGCACGAACCTTTACGCGAAGCCTGGAGCTCGCCGCGTGTTGAAGTTTAAGGTGTGTGTGAGTGTGAGTGTGTGTGTGTGTGTGTGTGTGTGAGAGAGAGACAACCAGGTTGCAGCAGTGCTTTTTTGGAGTTTGTGGTCGAGCGGGCAGCGAGAAAGTTGTTGTCAGTGCGATGTTGCGCGATTCGAGCGTGTGTAAATTGTGTTTTACGGCTGTTGTGTTGTGGCCTTAATCTGTGTGTGTGTGTGTGCTGGAGTTCTTAAAGCTCCCACAGAGCTAGCGGCTAACAGCTAACGTTACACGCTCTCGCTCCGAACGCGCGCGTCAAACACACTCACGCTCGCCTTCTCGCGCTCGCTCGCGCGTCTACCTGTCTCGCGCGGTGGAAGGGGTCCGCGAATCCGTCCTTCATCCCGGGCTGAGCCACCGAGGCCTGTCCCTGCACCAGCTCCGCCATCATCATCGTCACACACACTCACACACACGAGCACATAAACACACACTCAGCGTACACGACCGACCCCGGAACAGGAAACGCGCGCGGGAGCAACGCGAGACCTCAGTGAGAGACGAGACTCTGCGAGACTTCACGCACGTGGTTCTTACACCGCATGGCGCACCACACTGTGCATTATTACTGATTATTATTAACTTATTTAATGAAGAATTGATTTGATTACTTTTTAAACTTAACCTGATCTTACTTGACAATTAATTCGTTGAGAAATATTTAATTTCTAATTGATTTATTTATTATTGTTTTTGGATACTTTTTGCATTTATTATAGTTAGTGTAATATAATATGTGCATGTTATGAGTTATTATTCAGCTCGGTTATGATGAACATGTGGAAACATCTGAGAACATCTGGCAGGAGTCACAAGTTAAATACATTAAAATTGCCATCAATTTTAGACCTGCTTATGCAAATTGGTTTTGTCAGCTGAAAGACAAGCGTAAATATTTGAGCCATGAGTGTGAAATGTGATATATATATATATATATATATAGGGCAGATTCTGAACTTATAACTTAATTGTAGGTCGGTCTGCTATGATTGTTAGGTGAGCATTTTTGAGAAGTCAAGGCCGTCAGGTTCCCAAGATCAGGATGAGTTTGTTTTGGAGAAATGCAGCATTGCATCACTTGCTCATTTTGCCTTTGTAATGTCTAATCACAAAATCATAACTGCAGATTTCAGTGAAAATTAATCATTTAATGCTCGTAAGCTCCGCCCCCACACGCTCACACTCATTTACATATAACGCCACGCCCACATCTCAACAACTGATGCACAGAACCAAGCCCCGCCCCACATCTATTCTTTAATGATCATTTGTTACACTCAGATGAAGAGATCTGTCGCTACATTTGTTTCATCGTGACATTTTTATGCACCAGTATAACGATGCATCCTAATAAACCAGCATGTCTTTTTCCATTCATTGAACCTTATTGTACTTTTAGCATTGGTTCATGTAAATAAATTATTTAATATAACACAGTTTATACTTCTGAGAGATGCTATTAAAATGTGCTCGTCCGAGATCAGGATGAGTTTGTTTCGTCATCAGATCTGGAGAAATGTAGCATTGCATCAGTGTCTCACTGCAAGTGAATGGGTGCCGTCAGAACGAGAGCTGATAAAAACATCACAATAATCCACAGCACTCCAGTCCATCAGTTAACATCTGGAGATCTTTTATCAGCTCTCGTTCTGACGGCACCCATTCACTTGCAGTGAGACACTGATGCAATGCTACATTTCTCCAAACCTGATGAAGACACAAACTCATCCTGATGGCCTGAGGGCGAGCAGATTTACAGCAAAATTTCACCTGCATATGAGCAATAAACCAGTCTTCAAACTCATGCAGGATGGCCTGAGGGCGAGCAGATTTACAGCAAACTTTCACCTGCATATGAGCAATAAACCAGTCTTCAAACTCATGCAGACTGCAAAATAATTTTCCTAGACATGTTGAGCGGTTCAAGGCTAAACAGGTCCTTTGAGATGCTGGTTTTCATCCACCTGTTGACCTCAGGCGTTGATCACCCAGCGTTCCTGATCCGACAGACTTTCACACATGAATCAAACAGCGGTTTGACGTGATCTCGGGCCTCAAGGGCTAGAAGTGTATCAGTAACTGCGGTTCTTCTGCAAGCAGTTATGACTGAGTTTCTGCATGCATAATGAGTGTGAATCTGCAGCCGTGAGACCAGAGCGAAGCACATGCGTGTGCAAAGCCCTCAGAAGCCAGAGTCTGAACTCAACAAAACGAGACAGACAGCATGCGAACGATGGTTCTGTGCACGAGCTCGTGTTGACAAACCAAACAGATCTAATAGATTCATCAGGGGTCCATGTTCTAAAAGTAACATTTATGAACATCCTTATAACTTTCATCATCATCAACATTCACAGAGCGTCTTTATGATGTTATTTGTACTTGATGAACATAAGAAACAAAATGATTTAACCAACCATCAACTGCATTTTAAGTTAAACGAGATTCAACTTGATTTTTTAAGCCAGTTTAATAATTCAAGCAGAAATCAAAATAATTAACTCCATTTCAACTTCATACAAGACTCAATCCGATTTTATAGATCAGTTTAATATAATTTCAGTTGAAATCAAAATAATCTATAACCAATTTTAACTTCATTTCAAGTTCTATGAGATTCAGCTAACACATTTTTTTTTTAAGTCAGTTTAATATCAGAATTTTTGGACATTTTTTTGGACATTTCAACAATCTTAGAAAATTAAAAATCGTCATGATTCAAATAATGTTACATTTCGCGTAAAAGTAACACTAGTAGAACGTTGTGAGAAACATATTTGTAACCTTTAAGTGATGTTACAATTACAAGAAGAAAACTGGACATTTCCGAAACAATTCAAAACAACATTCCCACAACATTTCCACATCCTACATTTGTTCCCATGTGATGCTGTGTTGTATTAGTGAAACAGTTTAGTCGGATGTTTATCTAATGTTTTTTTTTTAAATGTTGCTACTTTTTTCAGAACATTCAGAGAACATTCAAAAGTAACGTTAACATAATGTTTGCAAAATGATTTTTAAAAAAATGGAATGTTCCCTTAACATTTTAAAAACATTTTTTTTAAATGGCTCCAGAACTTTAAATTTTATAGATCAGTTTAATATAATTTCAGTTGAAATCAAAATAATCTAACCAATTTTAACTTCATTTCAAGTTCTATGAGATTCAGCTAAAAAAAATGTTTTAAGTCAGTTTAATATCAGAATTTATTTTTTTTATTTACATTTAAATAACATTCAAGAAAACTGGACATTTCAACAATCGTAGAAAATTAAAAATCGTCATGATTCAAATAATGTTACATTTCGCCTAAAAGTAACACTAGTAGAACGTTGTGAGAAACATTTTTGTAACCTTTAAGTGATGTTACAATTACAAGAAGAAAACTGGACATTTCAGAAACAATTCAAAACAACATTCCCACAACATTTCCACATCCTACATTTGTTCCCATGTGATGCTGTGTTGTATTAATGCAGTTCAGTGCAGAACATGCTCTTCTTCTGCTGTTGTTAATAGCATGCTTTGTTCAGGTCTTTAATAATGTTCTCACAACGTTATTTTCTCTGAAACAGTTTGGATGTTTACCTACCGTTTTTTTTTTTAATGTTACTTGTTTCAGAACATTCAGAGAACATTCAAAAGTAACGTTCCCATAATGCTTGCAAAACGATAAAAAAAAATTGAATGTTCCCTTAACATTTTTAAAACGTTTCACACACAAAAAATGCTTTTAAAACATTAAGAACTTTCAGAAATAAAATTTTCATAACTTAATGGGAACATACCAAAACATTCTTACAATGTATTTTTGTGAGCTGGGATTATAGAAAACTTCCGTTACCATAGTTACCGTAGTTACCATAGTTACCGTAGTTCCCACCAAACTTGTTACTTTAATAAAAAAAAACACTGTAAGACCACTGCTGTCACAAAAATATATTATGATTTAATATACCATACTGTAAAAAATGATATGATCAGTAAGTCATGGCCATCACTTTAACTCATCAAAATAATTTAACCATACTTCATTTTATAAGTTATAATTTAGCTCAATATAATATAGCTCAATTTTTTGGGACCAGTTTAATATAATTTAATTTTAAATCAAATTAATTTAATCAATTTCAACTTCTTTTTATAAGTTACACTCAATATTCAACTTGATTTTTTAAATCAGTCTAATATAATTTAAGTTGAAATCAAAATAATTTACTCTTGATTTTTTAATTTACGCAAGATTCAATACGATTTTATAGATCAGTTTAATATAATTTCGGTTGAAAATTATTTAACCGATCTTAACTTCATTTTAAATTCTACGAGATTCACCTCAATTTAGATTAATTAATTAATTAGTAATTAACTAATAATTCATTGATTAATTAATTTCGGCTTCATTTTTTGAGTCAAATGAGATTGAACTTGACTTTTTAATCAGTTTTATATCATTTAACTCGAAATCAAAATCATTTAACCAATTTCAACTGCATTTTAAAAAGTTATGCGAGATTCGACTTCATTTTTTAAGTTGAAATGGTTATACTTAAAACTTTGAGGCCTTACTGTGGCATCAATAGTATTTTTGCTGGAAACTGTTGTTAGAAATATATATATCAATATATATATATAGTAAGCATAATATATAGTATTAATTTCTATGATGGATGTGTTTTTAGAAAAAAAAATCATCAAAATTAAGTCAGTTTTTGCTTAAAACAGAACAAATATCTGCAGAAGCGGTCAGAAAAACTGAACTCAAAAGGAAAACAAGATAATTTTTCTGAACCCATTAGCAGATATCTTTCTAGTTTTAAACCTAAACTCATATAGATCAATTTTTCAGTAAACAAGCTTCATATCGGTAGTAATTTTGCTTCAAATGAATCTTGATTTATGTTTTAAATGTTTTCACTCTTAAGAATAAAGGTGCTTCAAAGAACCTTTTTTGGTTCCATTCAGTCACTTTCTTACCTTGTTACAATCTGAAGAACCTTCTTTCGCTACAAAGTAGCTTTTGTGAAACAGATGTTCTTTATGGAGCCATTTAGACACAAAGGTTCTTCTATGGCATCACTGTGAAGCATCTTTAGTTTTAACTGTAAAAAATTACCGTGAATTTAACGGTAAAAGACTGTAAAAATGCTACAGTAAAAACCTGTTAAATGGTTAACAGTAAATTCCCCTACTATATACGGTGAAAAACTGTATTGTACATTACATGTATTGGACATAAATTTTACGGTAGTATACCGTTTTTGGAAGTGAAAAAGACCGTATAATTTACAGGGAATAACCGTAAATTGACATTCCCAGAATTCCCTGCGCTACAGTTCAAATTTGATGTTTTTTTTGTTGAAATAACTATGTTTCTTCTTATCAGTTTTGTATATTAGGGTTGTGTGTTACACCTAATGTTGTTAAATAAATGTTTATTGCATTATTTCAGTTTCACGTGTGTTAC